TCTTTACTGAATATCTATGTTTAAAAAACTGACCCAACCCGGCCAGGTCGACCCGAAACCCGGTGACCCGAACAAAAATCCGGTTCAATTTGTCCAACACCTGGAAATGATAAAAAAATCGGAAAATTACGACTGACCCGGGAAAACCCGGTCCGGACCCAAGAAACCCGAAAAAACACCCAAAACCAAGTTTTGGGTGTTTTCCAAAAAAAATTGTGTTTAATTTTAATGCATTTTTTAAATCAATAAAATTGCAAATTTAATACTCTAAAAACAAAAACTATGTAATATATTTTTTTATTTATTCAAGAATCAAAATCATGCCATATTATACAAATAAAAATATATCTTTTTATAAAAGTTATAGGATCAAAATAATACTTTGAAATTATGAGAGTGTAACAAATGCTTAATAAGTAGTATTGTTAGTTGATTATCATGAATAATAACTACTTTTTATTATATATTTGTATATAATTATATGTTTATTATTATTATGTAGACATATAATCGTTGACCAGTTTTCCGACGTTGGCCGGATTGACCCACCGGGTCCGTATTGACTCGTGACCCAGTCACTTGACTAGGTCATTCACTGGTCCGGTCTTTACAACATAGCTGAATATGAGAGCACGAAGGAGATGATAATTGCATAAATGAACATCCTTTAATTAGGAGTGACTAATCAAGAATCCAAACGGGAAAAAGCCAACTTCGATTATATTAGGGAATAACTAATTTGGTTGGACATTCAGAACATCCTTACAATCCTTTTGGGCTTCCACTTTCAGCCATTTCTTTCCGTGGCACTTTCCCAACGAACAACACACCTTTCAACAGGACCGCAATAGCCAAGTCGACTTCACCGTCCCGACTCGTCGCGATCCACGGCTCCACCCTCTCAGTGTTGGTAAGCGATCTGACCACCAGCGGAGACAGTGCGTCATCCATCGTGTCCATAGCAAAGGTTTTGAATCCTTTAAGTTACTCAATTGTATACAGAGTATACATGCATGTAGATACACACAGCTGTATATATACACACACTCATACATACACATTTAGTACGAAGTAAATCAAAATCATCCTTTTTACACATACACCATATAAAGCTCAAATTACATGTCCAAGCAAAGTAGCAAACAACATATAATAATACAAATGCAAATGACCCATTTAAATTCCAGCATAGATTTGAAATTATAGGAAAAATAAATAATATAATCACCTAATTCGTGAAGACAGTTCTTTACCTTCCTTGGCTTCCCCATATGTCATCAGTGACCAAAACACTCCTTGCCTACTGCCCTCCCAATCCCCATCTATAACTGAAGCAGTAACGCCAGTGGCAACCGAAACACTCTGCCGCCCTTACCAACCCATCTCTGATGTGTGACAAACACCACAACCATGTTATTTCACATGTTCCAAACGGATCGGAACAATAGAGCAACGAAGGTAAATCTGTGATAATCGTTGACAAACAACACAATAGTTCTGGTCTGGGTTCCAACAACTACCATCTTTATATAGAGCAACGATTTACAATCAAGATATATCGAGAAGTTCAAACGGAACATCGATCACTCCATGCGCCATTAAATAAATGTCTTTGCCGTCCAATACACAGAGTAATTTATTACACAACCGATTGATGCATCGGTATTGTTAAAAGAATTCCAGCATCTGTTTGATTTGTTTAAAGTACAATTAATTACATATACGATTAAGTGGTCTGCCACAAATTATTGTCGAAGGATGAAGACCAAAAGGCACATGTTTTTTTAAAACACTCCATATATGTCGGGTATCATACATTTCCACACATTTAATGCCACTCGTTGGCAGCACCTTTGTTCACTCACATTATTTGAAAACACATTCCCGCCCAAATTCTCTCCCACAATCCTCCCACACTTTTCTGTTTTAATATATATATATATATATATATATATATATATATATATATATATATATATATAGAGAGAGAGAGAGAGAGAGAGAGAGCTGATCAGGTCCAGCCGGAGGGACGGGGAGCCGCCGTCCGAACTCCGCCGTTTGGGGCGGTTCCCGGTGGAATTATTTGATGAAATTTTTTGAGCATGTTCCTCATCAAGTCTAGTTTGTCCATACCAAATTTCAGCTCAAAATTCGACCGGGAAGGTCGTCAAATGATTTTTACAAGTTAACTGGTCCGGAAAATACATATTCCGGACCAGTAAACTTGCAAATACTAGTTTAGCCTACCACTACATGAAATTAGGAGTCCAAAAGTTTCATCTTTAACATTTTGGACTCCTAATACTACACCACTCCAAATGGCCACTCTGAGACTGACAATGTTTTTGGCGGATAAGAATTGCAGGTGTAACCCACGCTGTTTTGTCCTCGATCGAAGAATCCTATGGTTTCCTACAATCATTGCATTGCCAGAGGTTACATCACCAGTTTCTTGGGTAAAAGGAGACTTCTCTGTTTCATGCTAGAAACAACAATGCTTCATTTACCCGCTCTTATACCCACCTTATACTCATCATGTTAGTGAAGTTTTTTTTTTCTGTGAACCAAATTCATAAACAATAGTTTGTTTGTGGAAAATATTGTCTGTGAACCGGGGTTCACAAACACAAAAAAACACTTCACAAACATCATTTTTGTGCTAGAAAAGGGACTTGACTGGCTTGTTGACTACACCAGAAGAAACTAGCCACAGACCATGGACCGAGGCTACACCGCCGATCTTGCATCACCGGATCGGAGAATCCTAGCTGCAATAAATTCATGCGAAGGAGAGGATATTGTTCACTTGCCCCAATTTACTTTCATGCGAATAAGATTCTAGGCGGCTTGAAGGATATAACAAGAATTATAAAAAAAAAGTATTTAACTTTTGCGAAAGTGGGTGTGATAGCCCCATTGCATTATTTATGTCCATCCCATTGATTGAGTTACATAATCTTGAGCTCACAGGTCTTTAGATAATGTTGTTTTCATCTTCACATTATTGAAGATATTTTAGAAAAAACTTCTCGGATTTTGTATGTGAATTTGGAATGTTGTGAAACTCATACGTTTGTCCATGTGATTTCCCATTAGTTAGCCCATTGGTAAATGCAGATTTGAGCACCTTTCCACTTCTCAACATGGTTGCATTCACATGTTGACTTGAGTTTGTTCTATTTGAAATGGGAGCCTACTCGAGTCTTTTGCCTCTATTCGGCTCAAGGCATTCATAATATGGTTTACTTGAGTTTCCAAATTTTGAATGCTCGACTTTGTCTCATGTTGGAATTGCCCCATGTTTTGTTGCATGATGGCCATATTTGAGGTCAAGGATCATGTCATCGGTGGGCATAGTAGATTGTGAGTTTGAGCCTCGGGGGTTGAAAGATGGTTGTTTAGATTGTTGAAGGGAAGAGTTGGGTTGTTGAGGGTTTCTATATCTTAAATTTGGATGGTCTCTCCATCCTGGATTGTAAGTGTTTGAGAAAGGATCATACATCTTTTGTGGTGTTTGACCGTTGAAGCGCATGCCATTGACTCGCTCGGGACCCACCTCTTGAAGCGTTGGGCAAGAATCACTTGGATACCCTTGTGACGTGCATATACCGCATGCCATGACTTCTTGAGTTTTGGAGTTTAAAAGGAACTCCTTCACCAAAGAAGTCAAGCCAACAACTTGACTTTCTAAAGCGGTTGTGTTTGTTTCTGTAGCTAGAGCTCTTCTAGACAAGGACTTGCAGTTGTATTGTCTCGAGTTTCAACTAACTCTGAGATTAGATTCCTCACTCGGGAAGAGTTTTTGTTCATGATCCCTCCCCCATATGCTGTGTTGATCATTCTCCTATCATCATCGGATAGTTCATCATAAAAGTATAGGATGAGGTGTTGCTCTGAGTAGCCGTGATATGGACAACTTGTACATAATATCTTAAATCCGTTCCAATATTCATAGAACGGTTAAAATTCGGTAAAATGGACCACAAACGACCTCAGGTACACCGTGTCCCTTTTCCCCTTGATTTCACAGTAGTTTGGGACGATTCCCGGACGAAAACTCGAACTGTTGTCGTCATTCTTCTCACACCACACGCAGGGTGAGTTTGGGTGTGGCCTTCGTCGTTTGGGTTACAGAGGGGATTGAGTTTCATTAATGAGCCGCCAATCAAAGTGGCGGCTTATAGAACCGCCACTTGAAGTGTCGGCTTTCCTTAACTACGATTAAACCAATAATAATTGGGGAATTATTTTTAATCCAACAACATTTTGAGAAATATTTATTTTTAAAATAGTATTATTAATCAGGAAAAAAACTCGATTATACGTATTATTAGGAAAATTTACAATATTAGAAATACAGCTTCTTCACGAATATTGAATCGGAATGGCAAGAAAAAGAGCAGCAGCTCACAGAAAATACAGAATAATGCATGTGGGTGCTAGTAAAGGAGTGTTTGGGTTTGCTTAAAAAAAGCACTTTTCAGCTTTTGGCTTAAAAAAAGTTGAAAAGAGTGTTTTCAAATGACAGCTTCTGCGTAAATTAATCACTTAAAAGCTAAAAGCTGAAAGCAGGTAGAAGTGTGCTTTAAACTGCTTCTCACTTTTTCAATTACACAAAAAGTACTTATTTTACCAAACACTACCAACTTTTACTTTTCCAGAATCACTTTTTTCTCAAACACTACCAACTTTTATTAGTAATCACTTTTCCCAAAATCACTTTAAAAAATCACTTTTTTAAAGTTAAAGCAATTGCAAACACTCCCTAAAGCTACTCTGATTATCTCCCTAATAAAGCTACTCTGATTATCTCCAATCAAAGTGGCGGCTTATAGAACCGTCACTTGAAGTGTCGGCTTTCCTTAACTACGATTAAACCAATAATAATTGTGGAATTATTTTTAATCCAACAACATTTTGAGAAATATTTATTTTTTAAATAGTATTATTAATCAGGAAAAAAACTCGATTATACGTATTATTAGGAAAATTTACAATATTAGAAATACAGCTTCTTCACGAATATTGAATAGGAATGGCAAGAAAAAGAACAGCAGCTCACAGAAAATACAGAATAATGCATGTGGGTGCTAGTAAAGCTACTCTGATTATCTCCCTAATTCCTCTTCCCGGGCTGAGCCGCCGCCCCATTTTCTCGACGGCCAAAGTAAAATTTCCAATAGCCATGATATCAACGGCCACCGCCAGAAGCTGTAGCTCCAATCCCAAAGCCCAAGGAGCATTCCTCACAGTTGAAGGCAGATTCACTTGCGAAAGGGAGATCAAGAAGAGCAAATTCATCGCCATTGCTGCCCATATCTCCGACCTACGCGAGGCGGAGACCTTCCTTACCGAGGTAATTTTTGCATTATTTTAGGCAAAAGTTCATTTCTGTAATGATTTTACTCTTGTTTCTATGTTTGTCGTCTGGAACTCCGAATTACCTTGATTGTAATTTTTGTGGCCTATGCGTAGGTTAGAGATTCTCGTGCCACACATAATTGTTGGGCTTACAAGGTAAATTCTTACCCCTATTTTCAGTGTTTTTATTGCATACAAATTAGATTCTTTTTCATTTTCTTTTCGATGCAGCTGATAGTGTATGTTTTCAAAAATTACTTCTACCCTAGATGTGAGAATGACTCTAATTTGTTATGAACAAATTATATAAAACTAATATCTTGTTCAAGGACTCAAGTGGCAGCAGGGCAAAAGAATCTTAAAAGCCATTGGATGTGTTATTTGGGCTTCAAGGAATTTTAAGAGGTGTACAAGAGCACCCATTTATATATCAAGCAAAAGACGAACCTTGTGCCTGGGGGCCCCTAGCACCGTCCCAACAGATCAAATTAGTTAGGATGTTTTGTGTGGTCATTCATTTAAGCTCAAACAAATTATTCCTTAACAAACTCTTTTTAATATCATATCTTTATTTTTTCTCTGTGTTGCTAGTTTTTTATTGAACACATAGGTACCTGTTGCAACAATGTGATTCCTAAGATCAATTATATGTTTCTAGTATGACTGTGAAATGTGAAGTTTCTGAAAATGAATACAAGTTGGGCATTTTGCACAACGATTTACGTGTATAAATTACTAGAAAGCTAGCCTTACGCTGGAAATATTGAGCCCATATCTTGCATATACAAGGGCTGAAAACACATAAATTTTGGTAGTGTCATTGCTCAATGTTATTTATTTACGTGTGTTCTTCAACATAGGTTGGAGATCACTACCGAAGTCATGATGATGGTGAACCATCTGGCACAGCTGGCAAACCAATATATTCTGCAATTGTTTCTTCAGGATTAGACAGAGTCATTGTTCTTGTAATCAGGTAATACATCACTTTGTGGTGGATGATGAATGTCATACACTCACTCTGGATGAAAATTGGGGACTTTTCTTAGATGATGTTTTTTTTTGTATACAGTACCTCTCTCCTAGTGACAAGCATCATTTCACCCTTTTCAATAGTTCAACTTCAGGTATTTCGGAGGAATTAAACTTGGAACTGGAGGACTAGTGAGAGCATATGGGGGAATTGCTGCAGAATGCTTGAGAAATGCTCCTACACGACTTATAAAATCTAAGGTATTGGTTACTTGGTACTCCCCTCCGTGGGAAGACATCACTTTAAGATCAATATTATAATATATTTCCTACTGAGTTTCAGCCTTTCATGTTTTAAAATTTCACTATAAATGATTTTCATTTTGCAGGTTTCTATGGGCATAGAGGTTCCTTTTGATTTAATAGGGTCTTTGTACCATCAGGTATGTACAGGAAGGACTAGGCTGACATTTTGAACCGAAAAACGAACCGAAAAACCGAACCGCAACTGAAAAACCAAATTGAACCAAGCCGGACAAATTTGGGACCTGGAAATTACTCGGTTAAATTTCAAGTTCACATATTTATGTGGTCGGTTTGCATCGAACGAAACCGACATATATTTAATAAATATGTTTTGAATTTTTAATAAACCCAATCCAAGTTGAGCCCAATTAATTTACACTTGCATAATCGTACAACTAGCCCAAGACCAATACCCAGAGCGCACTTTTAAGTTATAATATGTCGAATAGTAAATTAGTAAACATAAAGAACCTAATCGGCTAAGTGAACATGAACGCTGAAGAGGGCTGAGACAGTTGTTTCGTAACTTCATCTATGGCTAATCTTTCGGACCCTAATTAACTTCTTCCATCATCCGTTCATTTTCAAGACTTCATGACCTTGTCTTCTCGCAAGAGAAAAGAGGACAACCTGAGTAATGTAAGGACGGGTAGTACCTAACACACTAATAATATTGTATTACTATAATCCCTCCGTATTTAAAAGATCACTACATTAGGTCTTGACACAATGTTTAAGGGGGAAATAGTAGGCATAATGAATAGTGTAGAAAAAATAGGAAAGAAGGTGAAAAGGTAGGAAAGAGAAGATAAAAAGTAGAAAAAGTAAGAGTAGTTCGGTATTTTTAATGGAAAAACTTACCAAAAAGGGAAAATGTAACAAACATTTTAATACATCCCAAATAGGAAAGTGTATCAAACTTTTAAATACGGAGGTAGTATTATGATAATGTAGTTATTTCATTTTACTGTGTTTTGAGTGTGTCCTAAAATGTTAGAAGTGTAATTTGTTTGTGTATTCTTCTATATAGAACTGAGGGTATAAAATCTCTTTGTAAAGTATATAATTGATATAAGTATGTAATGTGTTCGATGTAATTGAAGTTCAAGTTTTTCTATACTTTTTGTAAATTTTTGTAGTACAATAGAACTAAGATTCACCTAAGGTGTTTTTTTTAATGCAAAGCCTTGCTTTCTAATTTTGTTTAGTCCCTTTTTAGTATAAACTAACCCTTTTCAACCAGAACTAAAAATGCACTAAAATAGTTCTTTGACTTTTTTTAAGTCAAAATGCTCTGGTGGACGTATAGCCATTACGGAAGCCCATTAGAAATTAGTTCCAATCACATGATTCCATGAAAGATTTTGTTATTGTCAAAATAAAAAAGAAGGGGAAAAATATTGTGTGGTCCCATTATACAAAAGATGAATAAAAGAGAGTGAAGGGAATGTTGTGCAGATTGGTACTTGCAATTCTTGCGGAATGAAGTATGAGACAGATTATGAGAATGAACGTCACCATAGCATTTCTAAACCATTTGTACAAGTGCCAAAAATCTTCTCTCTGTAGTAGGGTGAAAACAATTAACCAATTCTTAACTTCAGTCAGAAAAGGCTTAACATGAAGTGTGAGAAGTGGATTATTAATGCTGAGTTACCATTTATAACGGTTAACCAACCTGATATTAGGGAATTAATTAGTGATTTTGAATTTAAATATAAAATTCCTAATATAAAGAAGGTTGCTATGGAAGTATGCGATATGTTCTGTGAGGAAAAATCAAGATTAAAAGTGTATTTGGTGGTTTGAGGGTGAGAATTACAACTGATACTTGGACCTCCATCCAAAATATCAATTGCATGGTGGTGACCGCCCATTTCATTGATTCGAAGTTTAAATTGCACAAAAAGAGTGATAAACTTTTCTAAAATCACTTCTCAAAACGGTGAAAAAATAGGTAGGTGTCTTGAAGACAAGTTTAATGAATGTAGCATAAGTAAAGTACTTAGCATTACATTGATGATCTTAGTTCCAATGACATGGTGGTAGGGTATATGAAGAAAAAGCTTCGAAACCATGATACTCATGTACTTGATGATTACCACTTGCACTTGAGATGCACTTATCACATAATAAATTAATCGTGAAGGATGAAATGAAGGAGTTAGTTGATTCCAACGAAGGCAAGGTTTTAAATAACGGTAGTGCCAACGGTAGCGGTCATAGCTGTAGCGGCTAATGCGGCCGCTGCGATGCATATAACAGCCACTGCGGCGTGAAATATGTTCAAGTTCGCACAAGATAGGAATGCCAAAAAACCGTACTGTTTCAGCCCAATGACCATACCCAAGTTTCAATGGTGATGCAGTCACATTCCGGCGTGAAGCTGCCTGATGCGGCGGCGACGCGGCGTTACGGCTCCGTCGCAGTTGCGTCGCGTTACCTAGCAAATTTTGTCGTGATTTGCATCCACAATAGCAGCCTGTAGCGGTCCGCTATTTAAAACCATGATGAGGGTATTTGGAATTTTGTCATGTTCATTCATGCTTCAAGTGTAATGTTGGATAAGTTTGAGGATTATGCGGTATGAGAGAAAAGAGAAAAGATGTCAATCGTTTTTGTAGATGTGGTGACAAGATGGAAGACAACATACTCTATGCTTCACACCACATATAAGTTCAAAGAAGTTTTTACAAAGTTGGAGGAAGATAGTGGACAATTTCAAGCATACTTTTGTGAGGAAGTTATTAGGGTGATTGATGGGCACAGAGTGAAAGTCGAGGGTGGGTCCTCCAAGTGAAGATGATTGGGGAATCAATGGGCGTCAGACACTTTCTAAAAAAGTTTTATGATCTCACTATCAAATTTAGTGCAACAATAAGTCCGACATCGCACTTGGTCTTGAGAATTTTGGTGAACTCCTAAATATTTATAAAAATGTTAGTGATCCTATTTTGCAAAGTGTGGCTACTTTAATGAAACTCAAGTTTGACTAGTATTAAAATTCGTTTGACCAATTAAACCTTATAATCTTTGTGGTCCAAGCTCTTGATCCAAGATACAAGTTGCAAATGATCGAAATACATTTGAAAGACCTTGGCTACACTCCCAAACAAGTTGAAGAATATGTATGATGCTTATAATGGGACTAGTGTGGAGCAATTATGTGTGGAGGTAGGTATGGAGGAGGAGAATGTGGATGATATCAAAGCGTGGACGAAAAGGAGCCTTAATAAACAATGAAATGAGGCATAACTCAAGGAGATAGCCAATGAATTAACTAAATACTTCAATGATGTTTACGAAAGTACAATGAATGATGAATTTAATTTATTGAATTGGTGGAGGGTGAATAACGAAAACTATCCAACTCTTTCAAAGGTTGCAAGGGATGTGTTTGTTATTCCTAATTCAATCGTTGCTAGTGAGAATGCATTTAGCTTTGGAAGAAAATTGTGGAACTGTTTAGAGCTTCTTTGACACGTAGAATGGTTGAGAGTCTTGAGACTTTGGTCTGCATTAGCGATTGATTTAAACGATAAGAATTTCAATTTTACAAAGAACATACGGATGAAGAAAGTGAATTGTACTAAGAGCCTGAAGAACTAGAACATAGCAATAGGCTAATTTACTCGAATATTTGTGTCTACTTTTTATACTTTATTATTGGTGTTGGTATTAACTAGTTATTGTTGTTAGTGGTGTTTTTATTGTTTAATCTTCTTGCATTAGTTTATCCTCCAAACACGCTAAAAATGAAAGCTATAAAAGTTGGAGAAATTTGGAGAATACACTTTTGCAAGAAGATTAAACAAACACGCTAAAATCAATCATTAAGTGGTGGAGCCATTTGTAACACATTAGGCATACCTATAAAACAACAACAATAATAAAACTATTTAATATCAACACCAACAATTAAGTTTTAAAAAAGAATACAAATACTTTTATTTATTTTCTTACTTTGTTCTAGTTCTTCAAACTCTTTGTAGAACTCAATTTCTTCATCTGTGCATTCTTTGTAAAATAGAATTTCTTCTCCTCTAAGCTAATCACTAGTGCATACCAAAACCTCAACCACTCTAGGTGTCAAAGAAGTTCTAAACGGATCCACAATCCCCCCTCAAGGCTAAATGCATTCTCACTAGCAACCGTTGAACTAAGAGTAACAAATACATCCTTTGCAACATTCGAAAGTTAGATAGTTTCTGTTATTTACTCTTCACCAATTCAACAAATTAAATTCGACCATACTTTCATAAGTATCATTGCAGTACTTATCTACTCCATTGGTTATCTCCTTGGTCTCCCTTCTTTGCTTATTAACTCTCCTTTCCGTCCACGCTTCGATATCATCCACATCCTCCTCCATGCCTACCTCCATGCATGATTTCTCATTTTCTTTACATTAGCCCCTTTATATGCATCATACATTCAAATGTGATTTTACTTTACTCTTCATATCTTCAATTGTTTTTGGAAATGTAACCAAGGTCTTATACATCTATTTCAATTATTTTTGAACTTGTACCACATGTCAAGAGCTTGGGCCACAAAGACTTTTAAGGTTTAGTTGGTTAAAAAACCGCAATACTTGTCAAACTTCAGTTCTATTGAGTATTGAAGTAGTCACACTTTTCAAAATAGGATCACTAACGTCTTTACTCGTTTAATCAATTACTAATTTCATGTTCACCAAACTTCTTGTTGGACTTTTCGTTGCACTAAGTTTGAAGGTGACATCATAAAGCTATTTTAGAAAGTGTTCAAAGCCCTTATCCCTCTTCTCAAATACCGCACTTAAACAATGAATGAACTTGACACAATTCTGAATATCCTCAATGTATTTAACCGACTCCTCCATTCCATCCTTCACAAGTAAATTAATTATGTGTTCTCATGCGCAAGTGATAACCATCTAGTAAAGGAGCATCATGGTTTTTAACTTCTTCATATACTCTATCGCCTCGACATTGGAACTAACATTATCAACGGTAATGCTAGATACTTTATTTATGCCTCACTCATTAAACTTCTCTTCAAGACATCTACCTATTTCTTCACCCTTGTGGGAAGTGATTTTAGAAAAGTTAATCACTCTTTTGTGCAATTTAAACTCTGAATCACTGAAGTAGACAGTCACCACCATGTAATTGATATTTTGGATAGAGGTTCAAGTACAAGTTTGTAATACTCACTCTCAAGTCATTAATTACACACAGAACATATCTCATACTTCTATAATAATCTCCTTTATATTAAAAATTTTACATCTAGGCGGAAGATCCCTAATAAATATCTTAAAATTAGGCTGATCAACCATTCTAAACGGTAACTCAGTCTTGATAATCAACTTCACACCCTTCATGTGAGTCAAGCCTTTTCTGAGTGAAGTTGTTAATTTGTACTTCACATCCCATACTAGATTGTGTTAGAATTTTCTTATCTTTGTCAACCTTATTATAGAGAGGAGATTTCGTGTACCTATACAAATGATTTAAAAGGGCCGTGGTCTCGTTCTTCTTAGAGTCTGCTGATGCTCCGTTCCGCAAGAATTGCAAGTACCAATCTGCACAACATTTCCCTCATTGTTTTAAAATTTGCCTTTGGTACAATGGGACCACACAATACTTTTGCCCTTCTTCTCTTTGTTTCCACCAACAACATAATCTTGCATGTCATCTTGTAATTGGAATTGATTTTCAATGGACGAGCTTCAGGTTGAGTATCTCAATTTGTGCTTGGTGAGCTACCAGAATAGCTATCCATTTATCCAAGCATTTTGAATAAAAAATCAAACAATTATTTTAGTACATGTATAGTTCTGGTCGAAATGGTTAGTTTATACTAAATACGGTCAAACAAAATTAGAGAGCAAGAATTTTCCTTAGAAAGCACCTTAGGTAAATTCTACTATGTATTAAACTTTTTTTTCAAACGCATTACATACTTCTATACGCACTCTATATTATTTTTTTAACAAGAAAAGTAAATTTATTAATAGAAGAGAATACGCACTCTATATTAAAAACTTGTGAATCATAGTTGTATTGTACTAGACTTCTACTACTTCAAAAATTCAATGAATTTTAACTATATAAACTCTATTAAAAATTTTATCGAACACGTTACATATTTATATTAGTTATATACTACCTCCGTCCCCAAAAAAATTGTCATCTTTGACTTTTCAAGTCAATGCTGGTAAAGTTTGGACCATGATTTTGATTAGTATAATATTATGAAAGTGATAAGTTTTGTACTTTTATGAAAATACTTTTAACCAGGAACATTTTCATATAATTTTTATACTATAAATAATTTTGTATAAAAATATATAGTTGGTCAAAGTTGAACATGGTTGACTAAAAAATTCAAAGATGACAAAGTTTTAAGGGACGATCGGAGTACTTTACTAAGAGAGTTTATACTCGCAGCTCTATTCATGGTCTAAAAAGGTGATTTCAAGGCGAGTTTTGAGACACGCCTCAAGGTGAGGCATACAAATGAGTGTCAGAGGTTAGTTTTTTTTTGCAAGTCAAGAGGTTTACGCCTCAAAAGTTAAGGCTTAAATCCTTGAGGCGCGCCCTGAGGCGTTTTCTGAGGCGCTTTACCTTTGTTCTGTATTTTAATGTGCAGTAACTTAAAAAGGGTCAAGGTATTCCGTTTAATAAAAAGCCCAGAGTATGTTATTTAATAGAAGCCCAAACATGAAAAATGTGCTACACTAAGCCCTAGCTTATACTTTCTATTTATCGTTAAAATATCTTCATCCTCCTGCACAAAGAAGTATTCATTCTCCTGCAAATTATCATGTTTGATGATGTGGTCTGTTTGTGTATTTGAATTCTCACTTTTGAACCATCATGTTTGATGATGTGGTCATATCTGTTAATGACTTATGGGTATTACTGTATTAGGCTATTAGCTCATATGTGTTTTCTGTTTCACACTTTTTGGACTTATAATTATGAATATAGTTGTCTGGTACTAGTTTAATTGTTTCAAGTATTATTTGTTGATATATATTGAGGCCTATGCCTCAAGGCTTATGCCTCTCGCCTCTTCAGAACAAACCGCCTTGATACTCGAACTAGTCTTTTTAAACCTTGGTTCTATTTTAGTAGAATATACAAACAAATTAGACTTCTAACATATAGGGATTCACTCAAAATATAAGAAAATGAAATAACTACATGATTATATTACGGTAATACAATATTAAGGTATTAGTATATTACGGTAAGCCTTTGCGGCACTAGGGTAATGATGATGATGAGTGTATTACGGTATTACGTATTCATATAATACTCATGTTGCCATCTTTCTATTGCAAGAAGACAAGGTAATGAAATCTTGAAGTTACGAAACAACTGTCTCGTTCACTTAGCAGATTAGGTTTTTTATACTGATTTATTATTTGACATATTATAACTTATAAGTGGGCTCTGGGTATGGGTTTTGGGCTAGTTTTACTAATTTACAAGTGTAAATTAATTGGGCTCAACTTGGACTTGCTTTGTTAAAAATTCAAAACAGATTTAAATACATGTCAGTTCGATGCAAACTGACCCCGTAAATATGTAAACCCGAAATTTAACCAGATATTTGTTGGGTCCTGATTTTTTTGGGTTCAGTTTTCCCTCCTGCGGTTTGATTTTTTCGGTTCGGTTTCGGGTTTTCGGCTTAAAGTGCCAGACCTAGGGAGGACTGAGTCTGAGCATGTATACCTTTTTTCAACTGAGGGTGACCCCAGGTGGCAGGGTTCAAACCCCTACCCTGCAGCTCAAAGCATGGGAGATTTGACCCTCTTTCCTCTTTGTTCTCCAATTGAGCTACGCTCAGGGTCATGCCAGCGCATTCTTTGGGTATCAACTTCAGTTTTATTATTGTATGATGATTCATATATGTTAATATATGGGTTATCAACTTCAGTTTTATTATTGTATGATGATTCATATATGTTAATATCTGAACTTAGGCTGAGCATTCATTATTATGATGTTGATTTACAGACCTTCATTGCTTGTAACTACAATGCAGTGCGAGAGTTTTTTAGTTCTTATTTCATTAATTTCCCTTTCTCATTGGTGGTGACTTGCAGCTGCAATCTTATAAAGTTGAGGACATTAAACAAGATTATGATACAGGGAAAGGTGGTGTCACCATGGTCACTTTCAAAGTCGATTTTGACCGCATGCAAAGTTTAGAAGAAGCTATCAGAACTTATTGTAGTAGGGATATTGTGTTTTTCAAGAACTGAAGTCTTCTTGTGAGCTCACCCGCCAATGTAGATAAATGCACTGTATTTAGAAGGAGCTATCAGAACTTTTTTCCAGAACTATGCACTGTATTAAAATAACTACATGATTAATATCACTATTTCATATTATTCAATCATGAGTTAGCACATAGTCTCTTTTACAATTATCCAAAACTTATTTTTTGTAATTAATGTAAAATACAAAAATGTCACCTTATTAATTCTAGTCATTGACTAGAAATATGAATCACAGAGATAAAAAGTTCCCATTCATAAATAGATTCGAGTTCTCATTACAACCCCTCCTATAATAATAAAAAGAATCAAGACTCACAAACACCTACATACATGATACATATATAAGTGAGAATAATACTTCTTGTGCGAATATGCTAACAATGCACAGGCAAGTCCACACGTTTTGAAATCCGTCACTCAAAAGAGACATATGCATCACCATGAATAAGCAAATATGGAGACATTTTTGTAAAATAATTGATATCATGAAGTGTGCATTATCACAAATAAAAGTGTGCACTATCATGAAAAAATATGCACCTTTTTGTATCATTCTCATATTCTCACCGGAACGAGGACCCTATATATAAGAACAAGTCAAAGCAAAATGCATTTGTTCCACTTGGAGAGATCAATATTTTTAGACAATATGTATACAAGGAGGAATGTTCAGGTTCGAACATTTCTGGTCCGAACACCGTCCGAACATGGACTTTTGGGGCCCTTCCCGGTGGAGTTTTTTGATGAAATTTTTTGAACATGTTCCTCATCAAGTCTAGTTTGTCCATACCAAATTTCAGCTCCAAATTGGATCGGGAAGACATCCAAATCAATTTTTGAAGTTGACTGCGTCAAAATATACATATAAAAACTCAGTCAACTTCAAAAATAGATTTGAATTCCTTCCTGATCGAATTTTGAGCTGAAATTTGGTATGGACAAACTATACTTGATGAGGAACATGCTCAAAAAATTTCATCAAAAAATTCCACCGGGAAGGACCCCAAACGAGGATGTTCGGACGGAGGGTCCTGTCCGAACGTGGGGACCTGATCATTCTTGTGTATACAAGTATACCTCTTGTTCTAACTTATAACGGGATGTAGCATGAGCATTGTTGATACATCTGTCATTTATTTAATAATACAAAATGAGCATCTTATATATTCAAATGATTATGGTAATGAATGAAAATGAGCAGAAAATTGTTCCAAGTGAAATGACCATTCTTTAATTATGAAATGAGAAATTTTTAAACAAAATTACCAAAACACAAAGATATAAAATATGATATGGAAGTCTAATATAATTTTTCATTTTTATACTGTATGATACAGAGAAATTTTTACTTAAACCTTGCATATTTTAGATCATATTTATTATTTATTTACTTATATTTCTTCTTCCAGCAGTACTAAAAACAGTTTAAACTACTCATTAATGAGATGACATTTCACCTACATTGTGTGCGTTACATTTGTTTTTCCATAGAGTAAATCCAGGGATACTAAAGACGACTTTGTTTGGGTTTGGTCTATCCCTTTATGAATGAAACTAATGTAATTTCTTCTGTATTTATTGTAATGGGAGAGCTGATATCATACTTCCCATTTCCCCAACTAAACTTAAAATGCTTACTACTCACTAAAGAGAGTAATAATCCAAGATGGGCAATAATTAATGATTTTTAATTAACTTAATTTGCATTCAAAGTAAATTTTGAGGCTTAAAACTTGCAGGTCAAATAAACGGAGAGAATCCCCAGCTTAGTCATATGGTTTACCTCAGCATCATTTATTTCACCTGCTACCAAATTTACAGGTATTGACTTTCTTCTAATAAATTAACTATGTATTGTTGAAGGGTGTCATTATATTTCTTCCTCCCTGACTATAAATTGTGGCTTGCTTGATAAAAAATCATATGCTTCAAATCTTCATATACCTCCTTGCGAGCTGTTAATCTTTACTGAGTATAATCTCAACCATTTTCGAAGGGGTTAGATGATGAAGGCCAACATGGCATTGGTTCTCCAAGCACTCTTGTGTTTATCTCTAATGTGTGCTTGTCCTTGTCCTGTCCAAGGGGTTCGAATACCGAAAAGTGAGTACATACGCCTAAGTCTGGTATACCAAGAGTCTTACTATTTTTACATTTCGTTATTTCGGGCAGGCCATTAATGGCCTGTTTAGTTTAGTTATTCACCATATTGAAGTATTTGTTTGTGACACCAATTTGATATAAAATAATAAGCTGACATATAAAATCATGTGGTACTCCTGCCGCGTATATTAATTCATGAAAACCCAAGTCTTATTACTTTTGAGCCCCACACACTTGCACACACAATTGACCAGACAAAGCGGTTTTTCATGTTTGTTTGTTTTTGCAGCAGCGGAAAGCAACAGTGATGCATCAAAAGTTGAGGCAGTGGGCATCAACGACAGCAAACCTACAGATCTTGGCTTCTCGTGGGGCATGAACGGGGACACGACTCATGCGGGCACTGGTAAAAGCATCAGCTGGCTATATAAAGGGAGCCATGGTGTGGGATGGAACACAAGTAGCGGGGCATGCAAGATGGGCTGCTGTGCCCCCTTTGCAGGACACTGTAAATATTGCTGCCATAGCCTTGCAGAAGCCGAAGCTTACAAACAGATCATTAATTCAAAAAATGGAGCCAATTAAGCCCATAGCTTAATAAATCATTAGGGGCATGTTTGTTTAATTTCTAGCTCCATATGCATTTCCCATCATGAACCAAATTTGTGGTGGATGAAGTAATTCTGTTAATTATGATGTTGGAAACCAAGTGATTTTCATACCAAATGTGGTAGCTTGCATGCTTAATAAACGACTATATTTTTGGTTCTTTATGCACTTCAATTCCCTGCTAGCTTGTTCTTTATACCCCAAAACCATTACCATGGATCAAGCAATTCAACAAATATTGGTTGAGTTTATTTAGAACAAACAGTGAGCTCCATAAGGCCACAACACTCAAGAATTGAAACACTCAAGTATGATTACAAGGAGATTCGGGACAACTATAGTTCGTCTTGGTTTTGAAGCCCAAAACTAATATTGTTTGAGACTAGAGGGATTTATTCTGATGAATTTCGCCTTGTTTATATCCTAAATGTATAATCTTTGTATGTAGGTACTAGCAAGGCTAACGAAACATAATAGTCCACCGGACATAAAACAAACTCAAGTCTTTTGAGTAGCTTTGCCACTCCTTTTTCATTTATTACATGTATAAAGACCGAAGTGATCGAGAAAAAATAAATTAAAGTCGCTTTAACACTTCTGAGTCGACATTGCAAAGGAGTAAGAATCAACTTCCTTTGTAAATGACAAGGACGCCATTCATGGACCCTTCGGGATCAAATATTTGTCGTGTCGCCATTCAAAGAGAAGGATTTGCTAAAAGGTTATAGAGACAATAGAGTAACATTCATTTGAGGAAAAATCCGCTAATAAAAGCAAGTAAAATTCAAATCATTCAACAAGTAACAGGAGTAGACTGATAAACATACTCAAACAGGCGTTAGGAAAAAGTCTGTTTCCTAAGTTTTGGGCTTTAGGGAAAATTCTGTTTACTTGCTTTTGGACTAAAATTTGTTGGTCTGGTCTGATCTGGTTTGGTCTGGTCTGAACTGGTCTAGTCTGATAAACGTCTAGTGTCTGTGTATTTTATAACTACGGAAGTCAAGTCTGATATGTTCTGATGTGATCTGGTCTCGTCTGGTCTGGTCTAGTCTGGTTGGGACTCAAAACGGTCCAAAATAAAACACTCCCGTTCCTCCACGGCCCCTGCGGCTGCTAAAACACATTTCAGCATCACACCACAATTACTAAATGTTTCTCTGGCCATTAACGATCAGTGATCTCTTCTCAACAAAAATGGTTGTAATTAGGGAGGTAGCATAACAGTGATGTTGTGCAACTTCATCAATTCTCTTCCGTCAAGCTCGCAATCTCCGACCTGGCGGAATTTACGCCGTCGAATTAGCTTCATTGCTGCTAATATCCATGCTCCTCTACCGTCTCGGCCGCCGCTCGCCAAGCTTCATAGCCTCTCTCTCCTTTCTGACCAGTGTACATCAATGCACCAACTAAAGGAAATCCACGCCCAAATGATCATCACTGGCCGTATTCATGACAACTATGCCGCCAGCCGTTTATTTTCCTTTGCGGCTCTCTCTCACGCCGGCGACTTGACTTACGCGTTGGAAATTTTCCGAAGCATTCAGGAGCCCAACTCATTCATGTGGAACACCCTCATTAGAGCCCAAGCGAGTAGCTCAGAACCACAAGAAGCCTTGTCTCTCTACTTATTGATGCGCAGGCTTGGCGTTACCCCCGGTAAACATACCTTCCCTTTTTTACTCAAAGCTTGCTCCAACATGAAGGATTTATGCGCCACTCAACAGGTTCACATCCATGTGATCAAGTTCGGGTTGCATTTAGATTTGCATGCTGTTAATGGATTGATCCGTGCTTACTCTGTGTCTGCTGCTTTGAGCCATGCCCGCAAGCTGTTTGATGAGTTTCCTGAAAAACAAACAACAATATGGACAACGCTGATATGTGGGTATGCTCAAAATGATGACAGTTCTGGGGAAGCAGTTAAGTTGTTTGAACTAATGATTTCTACGGGGGTGGAACCCATTGCGGCCACTCTCGCATCTGTGCTATCTGCTTGTGCACAGACCGGTTGTTTGGAAATGGGGAAAGAAATTCATGTATACATGGTGGAGAAAGGGATAAGAGTGGGAGTGATCCTAGGTACAGCACTGGTAAATATGTATGCAAAGAATGGGGCAATAGTCCAAGCAACTAAGTGTTTCTTTAGTATGACAGAAAAGAACATTGCAACTTGGAATGCAATAATAAGTGGGTTGGGAGCTCATGGATATGTCAAAGAAGCAATTAACTTGTTTGAGAATTTACTAGTGGAAGAAAATTTGAAGCCAAATGATATAACATTAGTAGGGGTATTATCTGCCTGCTGCCATGCAGGATTGTTGGGTTATGGTCGTCGAGTTTTCAACTCCATGAAAGAACTGCATGGAATAGAGCCCAAGCTAGAACACTACAGCTGCATGGTTGACCTTCTTGGCCGATGTGGAAAGCTGATAGAGGCCGAACAGTTGATTAGAGGAATGGTTTGGAAGGCTGATGTGGTTATTTGGGGGTCCCTGTTGAGATCCTGTCAATGCCATGGGAATATAGAAATTGCAGAACGAGTGGTTAAGGAGATTCTGCTCTTGGATCCCAACAATCATGGCGTTTATGTTGGTTTATCCAATATGTATGCAGAGTCTGGACGATGGGAAGATGTTTTATGGACAAGGAAGGAAATGAAACATGGTAGTCTGAAGAAAACTTCTGGATGGAGCTATGTTAATAAGTAAAGCTACGTTATCTGAACCAATTTAGGGAATCTGCACTCTTAGCGTGGGACTATCCAGTATCTTCAGATATAAACTCATGACAAGTCATCAGATGTTAATATTTTATTTTGCTTTGAAAAGTCATGACAAGTCATCAGTGGTTTGCTTTGAAAAAACTCACAATCTTCCATCCAACAAAACCAATTGTGAGATCTTCTTGGCAACATTAGTAGGTCATTTGACGCCTTCAGCAGCACTAGAGAAGCTTCATCCATTCTGTCGGGCTTACTCAATGAGTGAGTCTTATCCCTTCATCACTTTAGCTTGAATACTTGATTTTACCCTGAATGATCCATAGCATTAGGAATGAATTGAAATGGCGACTAATTCATAAAAAGATGTTATGGCAGTGGCCATATTCCAGATTTCTGGTTCATCATACTCCCTCCGTCCAATTTTACCTGTCATACTTTCCTTTTTGGGTTGTCCCAAAATAAGTGTCACATTTCCCTTTGTGGAAATAAATATGTGGTTCACAGCATTTCACTTTACTATACTCAAATTTCAATCACAACTTTTACTTTTTCAACCACTTTATTAAAAATTGTGCCAAAACCAAAGTAGATACATAAAATGGGATGGAGGTAGTAGGATACTTCTATATCTGCAAATTGCAAAACCTTAGCTTTTGAGAGTGATTGCCATTGGTAACTGAAACCCATCATTACCTCGGTCTGAGGTGTATCAAACATTGGAGTAGCATAAGAACTCTCATTGCAATTCATATTATGACGGCTCCATGTTATCAAATATTACTCAATATTGTGAACAGGAATTGGGTAAGCGTTAAAATGATATAAAAAACGTATGCATGGTTTAAGAAAAAATTGAATTGTACAATATGCTTATTACCTTGTACTGTGGTGTCGTCTTATAATATAAACTTTCACCTTTTAGGGCTTTCCATCAAGGAGGCTTTCATGAATACAAATGTTAATTGTTCTTTAAAGGAAGCTTCATTTTTTTTTCTTTCAGTTTTTTCCTGAGTCCTGACTATATCAGGACATTGAAGGTGATGAAGCACTTGAGTTGCAACCAATGCAAGAAGGAAGAATCTCTTCTTAACGATATGCTTTAAAACAGAAAAATGTCAGAACGGTCTGGATCTTGTATTTTTGGGATAAAGAATGGTGTTGGAGCTCTTGGAAGGTACAAATTTGTCAATGTCAGAGTGTGATGATACAAGTAAGTTTTCTTTTCATGAATTACAGTGTTAGTTTTTGACATTATAAGTTTTTAAAAGAAGTTGCTTGAAGCATATTATTGGTGTTTTCATCATTGTGATTTAAACCAAGAACTTTACATCTTTTAAGTGCTTTTAGTGTTAAAATTTTTCTTTATATGGTCGATGCGGTGGTTTGGCCATGTGCTTAGAAGATCGAGTGATGTACCTGTTAGACGAGTTGAGAGGTGGGGAGAAGAGGTGGGGAGGAGAGGGAAAGGAAGAAAAGAGAAAGCTTAGGGAGGTAGCCATTTAAGGTAATTATGAAACCAACACGATAAAAATGTGATCGGACAAGCTATGTCCTTAAATGCCTAGATGGCAATTGTAGTTGGATGATGCATGCATCAAATATAAAGAACTCATCCAAGTTTGTGATTTGAAGATATAACAAGGTTCGCAACTATTCGGTTGGAAGTCGCAATAGAACATTCAGGCAAACAAGAGGTTGAATAGATAGGAAATTTTTCTACTATTAGGATAGAAGATTTACTTTAAGGTTGAAGGAACCTAATGAGGGTAGAACCATTTGTAAAAATAGTTTGTTAGTCAATCTAAATGATTAACCTAACTAAATCTAATTATATATATATATATTCAATCAATTCACTTGGAGTTAGACTTTTAGTCATTAAGTATTTCTCTTGATTGAATATCAATGTTGTAATATTTGAATATGACGATTTTTCAATTTTATGTATTAAATTTAGGAAGTTCTAAATTATTCTTACTTCATTTTTATCTTATCAATTCAATATCAAACATATAAACTCACTTTTCTTAATAACAGTATCACCTGCTTCCGTCTCAATGTTAGTGTGACGGAGGTAGTATAAAGATAAAATTATATAGATTAGTAAATATAATTATCTCTACGACCAATATGTTCAATCTTTATGTATTTAGATTAGTATCAACGTTTAAGTAAACCTTCTATCCTAATACTCGTATATCAATGAGTAGAAAAATTTTCTATCTATTCAACCTCTTTTTGATCTTTACGACCAATACATTCAATCTTTATGTATTTCGATTAGTATAATATGACCTATATTTTAGACTAGTCATTTTCAGTTATTATTTTTCATAACAACTAGATTAACACATTGTATGAAGTTTCTCAACATGAGCATGTAGAGAGGAGGGGTTAAACTTGCACATGACTTGATGGCTCTAAACCGTTTGCATATTGTTGTTTGTACTTGTGCTACTGATAAGGATGCCTCAGACGATACCATACCTTGTTCCACGCATTTGCATTTGCTTTTAGAAGATGAAGTTTAGCAAAAACAAAACAACCAATGTTGAGATTAATGAGTCTTTCTTTTCAATGACCATAAGTATATGAGAACATATAATGTATAAACTAGTTTGTGTTTATTAATGTTAAATTAATTATTTCATGAATCACAAAATATTTTTGTTTGAATGACGTGAAGTCACAAGCATAATGGTATCACCACTTTAATCGTTTGATTAGTACACTTAATTATGCGATAGACGATTATGTTAAGATGTTGAAAGAATGTGGGACCTCTATAAGTCTTAAAAAGTATGCCACGATAACAATAAGACTCACGCTGCTAAATTTCCTTGATAATTTCTTTTACATATGAATTAAATGGTTTGGAACATTTTTTTATATAGAGGAGCGGACCAAAATTATGACTTCCCCGCGAGAAAGTGTACCCCGTGAAAGACAATCTCTTGTCTCCATCACATGGCTGCCTAAGAGTTTCAGGCAGTGACAAACGACCCCATTAGCTATCAACATCAACAAAGTTATCGGTAGGCCAAGACTCTCCTGCTTCTTTATAGTTCTACTTGCCAAAGTGACACTCACCCCCCATCAAAATCGATCTTTCTCTATCTCTCTGAGAAAATATACTCGTATATAGAGATAAAAGAATTTTGGTTGGTGCACATCTTAGTCTGCCTTTTTAATCATACATTGTTGGAGCACTTTTTCCCACTTAGAATCCATTGCATCATTTGGGGTTTCTTTTGGTGTCAATTTTCAGTTTATTTTATCAAGAACAGAAAAAGCACTTGCGTTACTTTATTGACTTGAACTTCATACTTGTTTTGCTTAACATCAGGGGTGGAGACAGGGGAGGCTGGCAGGGTCTCGATCCCCCAAGAAAAATTTGTGATGTACTACGTATATACAAACGGATAAATATTTGTAAGCAGTAAAATATATATTGAAATTTGGGATAAGGGTCGGATAGGGTCTCGAACTTGAAAAAAAATGTCAAATAAGGCCATATTTAGGATGTTCTGTCCGGCCGACGCCATTTGGGGCGGTTCCCGATGGAATTTTTTGATGAATTTTTTTGAGAATCTTATTCGTTAAGTCTAGTTTACTCATATCAAATTTGAACTAAAACTTCAATCAGGAAGGCATTCAAATGAATTCTTGAAGATAACTGTCCAGTTAAAAGCGCAATTATCTTCAAGAATTCATTTGAATGCCTTCCCGATTGAATTGGTAGTTCAAATTTGATATGAGTAAACTAGACTTAACGAATAAGATTCTCAAAAAATTTCATCAAAAAATTCCATCGGGAACCGCCCCAAATGGCGTCGGCCGGACAGAACATCCTAAATATGGCCTTATTTGACATTTTTTTTCAAGTTCGAGACCCTATCCGACCCTTATCCCTTGAAATTTTAAGCTTTGTACCCCCAATATAAATTCCTTATGCCCTGCTCCCCTTAACCCGCCATTTCTGTCTCCGCGATTGCTTGCCATTGATATTAAGGTACATTTACTCTATTGAAGATGTAGCAGTGATGTTTTTGTTCATGTTTTTTATTATCAAAATTGTGATGCATTCTTTCTTTCTTTTCGTAGGTATGATTTCAGTATGCAAGTATTTCTGGGTTTATCAATGTATGGACTACAATTGTTGGAATTAAACATAGAGATTTCAAATTGAGTTTCTACATCTGTGGGTTTATGTGTTTGAATGCAACAATAAGAGCATGTGTTGGTTGTAAATTATAATTAATGCCAATTTGTCAAATACGTACAGTTTTTTTGTACATATATGATTTGTAGGCGACATCATTGTGCACGTCCAACCACTTGAAAGTCACAACTGATCATATATTGTAGGGAAAATGAAAACTAATAATCCAACCTTTTATCGGTCTTCTTTCAATAATCCCACCTTTTGATTATTCATGAATACTCCAACCTTTGCACCTCATCTTCATTCATTGGTCTCTGGTCGGTTAATGACCTACTATTCCAAGTTATTTTCTTATCTTTCCAAAATATTATCTTTGTGAAAGATGAGATTTATGGTATAATGATTTGCAAAGATAAGAAAATAGCTTGGAATAGCAGGTCATCAACCGGTCAGGGACCAGTAAATGAAGATGAGGTGCAAAGGTTGGATTATTCATGAATAATCAAAAGGTGGGATTATTGAAAGAAGACCGCTAAAAGGTTGGATTATTAGTTTCCATTTTCCCTATATTGTATACCAAAGTTGTATTTGATTATTTTAATTTTAATTATAGGTTTTCAAATAATAAATTTCTGGTAAAATAAATATTTTTGCGACGGTTTTTAAGTCTTAATTTGCATATTGGGTCTCAAATTCTCAATTGATATTTTCATTGATGTAACAACAATCAATCAGCATATTTATTCAATTGGTAATTTGATATTATCATTAGTAAGACACTAAGACGCCTTATAGGCCTGAATGGAAAATGGACGCAATTAATTTCAAATATTCCCGATTTTAATATTATTATTTGGGACGACATTGCAGTCAGTTCATAGATATATTAGTATTCCTTGGAGGTAGGCCTGGATTCGGGCCGGGTGGCCCGACCCGGGACCGGCCCTAACCAGCACTATTCCGGCCCGGTGTCCCGGTCAATGACCGGTCCGGGTAGGCCCGACCCGCGTGGGTTCCGGTCCGGGCTCGGACCCCCAAAATCATGAACCGGCCCGGCCGCTTCGGGCCCGGTTCCGGGCCTTTTTAATTTTTTATTTTTTTTTCAATTTTTTTTACTTTTCGGGTTGGGTTGAGTATTTTGGGCCATTTGAAATGGTTTGGGGTGGTTTGGGGCGGGGGGTTAACTAGGGAAATGAAAAAAAAATAACAAAGGCCCGAGGCCTGGCCCGGCCCGAACCGGAACCAGGGATTACCCGGGCTGGTTTCAGGGCCCCCATTCCAGAACCGCCGGCCCGGTCGGGCCTAGGTTCGGCCCGGGCCCGAACCGGCCCGAGTCCAGGCCTACTTGGAGGTGCTTTTACACCAAGGCCTTTAGGGATGATATGCTATCAATTTTTAACATATTTTTCCTTCTGTTACAGACCATGTTTCATTTAGTTTTATAAATAGATAGTTGTTCAAACTTGACTTAAAATTTGGGAGTGTCATATTATCATTATTATGTGAATATGTGATGCATAATGCATTCAGTTTGATTTTTTCAATTGAATATTGATTATTGAGCATAACTACCGAGTATAAACAAAATATTACTCCATCAATACTTAAATTATATAGGGACTATCAAACGAGCTCAAAGGATTAGTTAAGATTAAAGTAATTAGCTAAAAATAGGGACTACTAAACGACCTATTTATACCAAAAGAGCTAATAAGTTTTATTAGTCAACTTTTTTATCAACCATGTAACATTGGGTTTTTGCGTTGAATTATGTAATAATGAAAGTAATTAAGGTAGACGTTATTTTTCTAGCCAAATTGGCTGAAGTTATTGTAGATAATATTTTTATTTGTTCTTATACTCCGTATAATTTTATCTTTATACTACCTCCGTCACACTAACATTGAGACGGAAGCAGGTGACACTGTTGTTAAGAAAAGTGAGTTTATATGTTTGATATTGAATTGATAAAGTAAAAACGAAGTAAGAATAATTTAGAGCCACACAAACTTTACCAAATATGATATGAGACAATCTTAGTGTGATTTCCCGAAAAGGTAAAATGATACAATCTTAGCGGGACGAATGAAGTATTATTTAAAAATATTTTTAATATACTTTTTTCGTAATTCAACAAATTAAATCAATTTAGCCGCTTTAGCCAAAATTTCTTCAATACTAATACATTCAGCTAATTTAAATGTCACTAAAATGCTTTTTATAATTTATTTTTGGATCCATAAATTATTCAAAGAATTAAACAAGACATATAAGTAAAATAATCTATATCAATTTAAGTCAACTAAACAAGACTATTAGTGGTAATGTAATACGATAGTATATTCAATGAATTTAGGAAGACATAATTCTCTGGAAGACTGTTTTAAATGGGCGTAAAAAATTGTGTGGGCAAGGCAAGTCTAGGCTTCAAGCGGAGGGAAAACTCCTCGCATAGCAGAGAAAAAATGAAAAAGGCGGTGAATTGGAAAGTTGACTATCAAAAGCGTGAAAAAGCATAAGTCTAAGCGCGAAAGGTTAAGCCTAAGCATGAAAAGACATGTTTTTTTTGGATAAACTATTTCTTACAAAGAAAAAGTTGATTAAACTCAAACAAACCACTTCTATAAACATGTTTTATATATAAACGTAATACGCAGGGGTGGATCTGACTTAGGGTCAAGGAGGGCCCGGGCCCGCCCTAAAAAAACAGTAGGGGTAAATGTGGTGTTCTCACGTTGTGTTATGTATATCCACTTCTCCAAAGTATGATAATTTAATGCACAATTAAAATTGGTTACCAAATAAAGCTCTAGCTTATAATCATGAAATCGAACTTGCCATATACGAGTATATAATATATGAATTGATATTTAATATTTAAGAACTCATACAATTATACAGGCATATAATGCACACGGATCATTAACAAATGCACATTACATATATAAGCACTGAACTATATGTATGTTAAGCATAAATATTAGTATCTCAAGCACAATTCAAATAAGAACTAAATAGTATTTAACACATAAGAACTTCATGCAATTTAAGCTAGTATATTGTATATAACACACAAGAATTGATTTTTAATGCATAATACGTATATGCAGTGCAATAAGGGTGCACCGCATAAAAATCACTATCTAACACACAACAATCAATGTTTAATGTGCATGGATCGACATCTTACTCTTAGTCAGGATATAACACACAATAATTGGTATTTGATGCACAAACGTATGAAAAATACATCACAATTTAGTGCACGCGTTAATCACACTAATTTGATGCACTAAATATGTAATATCTAACACAGAAGAATTGACAGATATGATGTTGAAATACACCAGAATAAATATTTAATACACTAAATCATAATTTGATGCACGAGTTAATAATCATCCGCTGATGCATGTCGATGTAAATACACAAGAATAAATTTATAACGCACATCAGCACATGAAATGAATATGTATTAATGGAAAGTAACAACAACAAAAATGTATTAGTTGCTTACAAAATAACTTATTTTATTCAATATAATATAATATAACTTCAAAAAGTCATCTTCCATCTAAAATTAAATACTCCGTACATAAGATGCTAAACTTAAATAGTGGTGGACGGTCAAACACATACCAAATTAACCTACCCATGCATGATTACTAAAATACCCAATAATATATTATTAAAATGGTATACGGATGTAGAGAGGTGAATGACTAAAATTGTTCTCATTTCTTACAATAGAAGGTGTTCTCATTTGAACCAAAATCTATGTGTACACATGTGTGTAGTCCTGTTCGAGTCAGGAACTCCTGATCGGAACTGACGTGCGGAATTCACTATTTGGGGTGATTTCCGATGGAATTTTTTTAGCATGTTTTTCATCAAGTCTAGTTTATGCCCACCGAATTTCAGCTTAAAATTCAATAAGGAATTCAAACAAATATAATATATAATATAATATAATAAACAAACTCTTGGAAATTAGAGCTCTATGAATTAATTAATTACATGTGGTAACACCCTTCATAGGAAAAGTTGACATTGCATGTGGCAACACCATAATAAAGTCATCCTTTTAGATACATTTTGTCTACAATGTGTTTGCAACAATTATAGATATACACTTACGAACATGAGTGAAAACTATTCAGCTTCCAAAACTCCACCTAAAAGTCTTCCAATATATATACATGTAGATTTCTCCTACTACAATACCATGTTCGTTGTTGTAAATAGCAAGTTTATTCTATATTTTTTTTCCGAGAACCACCCAT